TATATATATATATATATATATATATATATATATATATATATATATGAACCATTGTGTCAAATGCGAACAAAAATTTATGAACACAATATAAACATAATAAGAAAAACTGTTATACGAAAGAAAATAAATAAAAAAACAGGTATGAACACGATAWGAACAGCTTGTGAACAATAGTTCCTTCATTATAAACACATTCAGGAGCGATCCTTTGTCAATTGGAGTTTTATACATGCATTGCATCCACACCGTTTAAGGTTCACTCTTTGTTCATATATGTTTCTGATCTTATATGGTTGTTCACCCCTTGTTCATATCGTGTTCACCCCTTGTTCATTTCGTATAAAATATATAAACACATAACCCCAACGCTATGAACACCGGGTGCAAACACTTACACAAATATAAAGATTTGGTATCAAGCTTAAAAAATAACACTTGTGTTCATATAATAGACGTAACATGAACACAATGGTTCATGATTCATGAAAGTCGGTAATATGACAATATGAAAATGGGTCGTACATGTACTTCCATTTGAACATGTGATTTAGGTACGTATTTTAGTAATTAAAAAAAAGCTATCAATACAAGATGAATTACAAAAAACACAACACATCGTAATGAACATAATTTCGGTTAAAACGAATCTAAAAAAATAAAAATCTATTACCAAGACATTCGTTTTGGTTAATTTCTTCAATTTCCGACCTCGAACTCCGATTATCATCATAAACCATTTTAATCTTCTCATTGTTGTCGATTTATATTCCATTGTGTTTATTCATATTAGCTTGATTGATACCAAAAAAAATTACTACCGTGTTTTCTATGCGAATTAAAAACTGATAAAACAATAAAAATGAAAGATCAAGATTAAAAAAAATAAAAATATTAATATTATAAATGCATATTTTTTGGGATTTGATGTTTTGTAACTCCCCATTAATATTTTGGGAGTTACTATCAAATCAGTTCACTGAAATACCTTTGTAATTAGAATGTGAACTTGACATAAATTTACAAGAAGAATGGAATTTGATTGGTTGTCATGTTTTTCAAAGTTAACACAAAATTGTTGGTTAACATTTGATATTCCCCCTATATATATATATATATATATATATATATATACTTGGGATTATGTGAGACCAATGGTTTTTCGTGAGACCCGTAAGATCAATTTTCAACCTTTGGATTAGATCTATAATCGTCAAATCTGAACATTCATAAACGTCACGAGACTTTTCAATAATTACAAAATTGTCACCGTGCAATTTTAGACCATTAGATCATTAGTTTATAAAGTTGATCAATGAACATAAATTGGTCTCACGGGTCTCACGAAAAACCATTGGTCTCACGTGAATCCAACCCTATATATATATATATATATATGCATTTTATTTCAACTTGTTATCTGTTTAATCAACCAAAAATAAACAATCACGATTTAAAAAAAAAAAAAGAATTTCTTCACGTGCTTGTACTATACAACTTTCTATTGCGCCTCTTGAAAGCAAAAAACTTTGTGTTCGTTGGAAAAAATATGTTCTCCTAAATTCACACGCTTTGACACCTTGCAACCGCTTTTCACAACACTTTTTGGTTGGTGGCAATGCCGTACCGTCGGCCGTCGCCGGAGGTGGCAGACTGATATCTAAATCTGGATCCATTTATCAAGAGCTTATCTTGGTAAGCGCTTATCAAATCATTTTACTTTAACAAATTGGTAAAAATCAAGAATATTGCCCGTTAAGAGCGAAGTCAATGACCGAGAATCTTATCCGGCAAGTGGGGGCAACGGCTCTTGCTCGGTTAGCACTTACCATTAAATTTTTGCATCCGATGTTATTTTAATGGACTAAAATCTTATCTGGTAAGATAAGTGATAGTATTGAATTTAGTTGGTAAACGCTTACCGAGTAAAGTGTAAGAAAAGTTTGTTTAGCCCTCCAGAACCATGAGGCGTCGTCTTCCTCTTCCGCAACCTACCAAACCTAGTTCTTCGACATCCACCATTAACGTCACATTGTTCGACATCACCGCACTCGTGCTCGTTGTTGCTGTACCTAACTACCTTACTGTTCACCACATTCTCGTTATTCACATGATGCAATTGTTGTATTCAAGTCCTTGTGCTAAAGTTGTTTTATGTTGCTTTGTAATGTAGCCTTTATATGCTTTGTAGACTAGTTTATAGCTATGAAAGTTCAAATTTGTCAAAGTCTGAGAAAGATCGTAAAATACTGAAGTTTTATGAGATTTGTAATCTGTAATCTTTAAGAGAGACATGTTGAATCAAGAACACATTGTAATCACTTTGTTTACTTGGATTATTGTAGCGTTCTTGAATCTTGATCTATTTTGTGTTTGTGACTTGAATCTGGGCTAAGAGATAATGGTTTCATTATTTTCATATCTTTCTACAAGAATGGAGTTTCTACTTGTACCCAGATGAACTACAATCAAACAGAAAATTAAAATGGAAGTTTAGTTATAACAAACTCTGACTCTCTTGTCATTAATATGAATAAAGTATTCGTTGGATTAGGGTTTGTTGTACTGGAGTTATGAATTTAAATTTTTTATATTATATATTATAAAGTTTTTTTTATATATAATAGTATAATATATATATATATATATATATAGTCGGGTTCATATGAAAATGATACATATTTAAGAAAATAAAAGAATGGTCAAATCACATGTGATTTTACACTAACATCACGTATAAAATCACATGTGATTCACGCGAGCTTGCGATGCGACCTTCCTACACGGCCATAGGGTCGCTCACACACTTTTTTGGTTGTTGATATATGTAATTTGATCATTTTTTTTTATTTTCTTAAATTGGTACCATTTTTGGATGAAACTACCCCCCTCTCTCTCTATATATATATGCCCCTTGTTTATTATAGTTTTTGGTTAATTTTTTTATGTTTTATATTTTGTTGATAAATGTGTATCTGAAGTTCCCCAATCATTTTTTGCAATTGTGTCAGGATAAACGAGGTGTTACTTGACATATGAGTACATGTACTATTTTATATAAATAGGTGTATCCATGATTAACATGATCTTAATACACCTATTGAAGTTGTGAGAGAAGTGTCATTGATAAAGATCAAATGATACTGATCGATTCCAACCATATCTTGTTTGATATAAGACAAATTAAGGATAAATAAGTTTATTTCGTACTTCAAATTGCCGTAATTGATTGTTTACAAGAAAATACGTTAATTCTACTTGAATACATATATATATATATATATATATATATATATATATTGTATTTTAGACTTGTTTTCTTAATATTTTTTTAGTGTAATAAATAGTATAATATATTTTAGATGATTATCTCCACCGATTTTTACATCACGTTTTACTAGTTGTATACCCGTGCAATGTGGCGAGAGCCGTAAACTTTAACGATTTTGAAGTTTCACTTGTTTTATTAGAGAAGATTTAACGATGATATAAGTTACACTTGATCTTTACATATTAATACAATTTGAATAAATAAGAGTTATGATTCCAATTACAGTCTACCGATGAAAAAAATTGTATGACAGTTTAAAATCCAATATATTTAAAATCCAGCATATTTAAACGACTCCACAAATGTGTTCGATTTACACCAAGAGCAAAGAATCAAGAGATCGAGACCGAGACCGAGATTTCTAGAGCAATTGAATGAGAGATGAATGAGAGAACTTTTCATAATTCATGGTGAATATCTTCACAGTGGGGAATGGAGAGAAGAAATAGAGGTATGAGAGAGTTAAGACATAAGTGAAATGTGTCAAAAGTATCTTAGAAACATGAAAAGAAAAGGTAATAATGTGCATTGGTAACTTGCACTATATGTTATTTTAATTGTAGATTAAGAGATTTTATGAGTTGTTTTTAAGACTTTTAAGACTTTGTGCATAAATGTATAGTACCTTGTGCATTAAAAATTATTTTTTAAGACTTTTGATAAATCTGGTTTATAAGGTACTATAGATAAACTTGGTGTCCGGATAGTTGGGAAGCCAAGTAGAGGTATGTTTATATTTGCATTAATGATGATTGATAACAAAGTGAATAATGTTATACAAAATACTTTGAGGCGTTTACTTTACTGAATGTCATTTATTTTATTGGATAAATAAATAGTATAAGGAGTGAGAACCTTATCTGATAAGAGATATGGTAAAAACAGAAAATCTTGCCTTATAAGAGAGGGAGATCAGACTTTCGGTTAACGCTTATCAGGTAAGAGGCCCTTGCTAACATTCCATTTTGATGGCCGAGAATGTTGCTCAATAAGATAAATGAGAGTGGTAACTATTGCCGAAAAGCGCTTACACGGTAAGCATTTAGTAAAAGGCCCCTTACATGTAACACCTTTAATTTTCTAAAAACGGTCGAAGAACAACAGGAAAAACGACCAAGAAAACGTGCAGGAAATGGTCTGTGGGACTTGGGTCACGACCAAAGTTGCGTAAGCTTCTATTTGGAGATCGGCCAACACGGGTGACCCTGCCATGCCACCCTAGGGTCGCGAGCAAGGGTAATGGACCACCTGATGGTTAAAAGTGCGTTTTTTCAGGGTTTTCTTTATTTGGTCATAAGTTTCTAATCTCTTATCCAATTTTGGCTATTCTTGCAAATGGACTCGTATTTTGAAGCTTTTCAAGGGTAGGCTAAAGAGAATTAAAGTTTCTTGGTGATTTGGGGTTTTTAGGAGTTGAAAGGTAAGTTCTATATCTCAATTTCTTGACCTGATGTTATGAATCAACGCTTTTAAGAATACTCTATGAATCTCAAGTCTCCACCTTTAGAAGCTAAAGGTTTGAGTTTAGAACCTAGATTTAACTTAACCTAGCAAGTTGAGTTTCAAGCTGCTTTCTGAAAACTTTGTATATGACAAAAATGTATATTTTGAAGTCTTAAAATGTCCTTGATTTTTATCAAATGTGTTGATTATTTGACGAAATTACATCTTTTACACATTTAGTTTTATAAAATCTTGAGAAGTACATATATTTGAGTTTTTTGGACACTTTGATAATAAATTTTGATGATTTATTCCTTATACGGAGATTATTTGATGTTATTGCTATTTTTGTTAGATTGCTTTTATAAATCACTAAAATAATAAGCGTGATTTAGTTTTTGTTGAATTTTATGGTATTTTAAGTCATGAGATTTATTAAACTCTTTAAATGCATTTTGAGGTTTATAACGACTCGTTTTTTATTAGTCAAACAAGTTGAAGAGCCCATTGCCTTGGATTTGAGCAAAAATACTTGTTTTACGATTTTGCCCAATTTTTTAGTTAGTAATGATGGTATTCGAACTTTTTGGTGTATAAATTGCATTCACGATGGGTATTCATAATTTATTGGTTTGATTTTTAACTCAAATGATTTTTGGGGACGTTTGTTTGATTTAAATTGTTGTATGTGTGATTTTGGGAGTGATATGCAGTTATGACATATTTATTTAGAAATTACGTGTTTTGAATGCGTTAATCATTCGATTTGAATCATGTAATTTAAACTATGATATAATGGATCCATAGGCGTATGAGTCAGTATGTTGGTTTAAACGTGGGATAGATATCTTTGTATTGTAGCTAGAAATATCATGGATCAGCGAAGGATTCAAGCTACAAACCATGGGTGGTTGAGTTTGATGATCGTATGATCTGTAGTAGATGACTTAAGCTATAAATTGTGGGTGGTTGAACTTGATGACCGTGAGACCATAGTGGCTATAATTTTTAGTGAACGAGTATATATAGGATCAACGGAGGACTCAAACTATAAACCGTAGGTGGTTGAACTTGATGACCGTATGATCTGTAGTTGAACTCATTGACATAGATATATGGCTTACTTTGTGTTTTGCTAGATTCAATGGATACAGGTTTCCCCCATCACCAAAATGTGTTATTTTTTGGATACTGTATTATCCATGTTTTCAATGTTGTTTTGGATATACAGTGTATCCATAACTTATGGTTTTGATATATTGGAACTTATCCATGTTTTAGTGTTTTGGATGATAAAAAGTTTATCTATGTTTTCAATATTTGGAATTTAAACCTTATTTCATTATTTGTGCTATTATTGGGTTTGGTCATATGTTAAAATGGGTGTTGGATTACTGAATTTAATCACGAGAATTGTCGGTTTTAGAAAATATTGTTTTTATGGTAAAGTCGTTTTGTTGAGAAATTATAATTTAAATAAGCAGTATTTCATTTGTTTTTCATTTATAATTATGATTAAACTACTTGAACTCACTGGGTGTTAAGCCTAACCGCTTTTTTTTTGTTGGAATGTGCATCAGGTCCTTTATGGAAAATGGTACTGACGATACTGTGATGAGTTAAGCGATAATTAGAGGCACGAGATAGAACTAGCTAATTGGAAACGTCTTCCGTACCTTGGAGATAACGACAGTTAATGGGTTTTAGTAACACTGTCCTTAATCTAGACTCTCTAAAATTTGGATCATTGTTGATTGATTTTAGATTCTAGATTCTAGATCGCCGTTATAGGTAATCAAGTGTTGGAATTTAAAAAGAAATGTATTCCTTATTTGATGTTTTATTGAAAATTTTAAATTGCCAAACAATTATATTTCATTTTGTACTATATCATGAAAGCCTCTTAATCATTCTGACCACTTAATCATTCTGTATCAAACCGTTCAACAACTGTCAAACAACCCCTAATACTTCTAAGAAAATAATTGTCTACTTTCTCATTCTACCCTTAATCAAAAAATATAAAAAAAAATGAATTAATTTGATAGAAAAAGGTTAATGATGATGGATGAAACAATAGTAAACAGACATCTGATTAGAACAAGTAATTAAGACCTTTTTGTATACTTAACACAACCTTCTTGACAACATATTTTTAAACAGATTTTTGCTTTACATCATCATCTATACCAACTCATTCTCATTCTATAAAACACTCTCTTACTACATTCTTCCATCCAGACTGCCTAAACTACCCTCCTACTCTTTTCTCCCCTGATTGGGTTGGGTTGGGTTGGGTTGGGTTGGTTTCATTTCGTTACCTCTGTGGTTGGTCGGCCGTTGTACTTGTCGTCATACTGCTGGGCCCACCGCCATTTTCAACGGGAGGTGAGGTCCCCCATTTCCCTTCTGACTCTTGTGGCTCCAACACGATCACCCCACCATCGGTCAGTCCTAATGCAAATTGATTGGCTTCACTTGGATGTGCAGCAATCACAAGTGGATACACCCTTGAACTGCAAACATACAAACATCAATAATCACCCACATTTTAAGACATAAGCACCACCCTGAAGAATATGCTCACTTTGGATTGGAAGGCAGGTAGGCGGTGGAACTGATTCGACATCGCAATCTGAGCGTTGATGCAGTAAGAATACCAACACTTCCATCCTCAAAGCTTACGTAAATTGATTGGCTGTCGCACGAGTAAGTAGCATGTGTGATCAAACCACTTGTCTCTGGAGGCACCCACTGTTTTTAATCAATCATGAATGTGTCAAGAGATCATCACTAGACGCATAATCATATTAACAAACCCAATTAATCATATATGAAACATTCAGGACTGTTGTTTCATGTAACTGTTCAGCTTTTGGTTGAATTTTTGTAGTTAAAAGATGAATGGTATACAAATGAAACTAACCTGTTTAAGGCGTTCGAGTTTTGGTGCTTCATAGATGGCTATCTGAGTTTCGTGGACTGCTAGCAAATGTGTCTGATCATTGTGGAATTGTACGCGGGTATCCACTATGGGAGCCGCAACACGTCCAGGCGGAATTTGCAAATGTTTACTCGTTTGTTTCTCCCATCCCTCTGTGCTCCAAACACACACCTGCAGAGAGACGTCTATTACTATAAATCTCTGAATCTTAGGAAAAATAATTCATATTTTTTGTGAAGTTTTAAATTAATTAAGAGTTTAAGGAGGCAAGCGCCAAAAGACCGTCCGTTTTTTTCTCACCTGAGAATCAGCACCAGAAGATACTAGCACATTAAGCACGTTAGAGAAGGCCAGGCCTGTTATCCGTTTATTATGGCCTTTAAGCTTGGTTTTGACCTGTTCACAAGAATAACTAATAGTTAGTGCGTTATTTAGTAGATTTGAGGTTTGATTTAGGTTTAAATACGAACTAGGAACAACCTCGTCGATGCGGACATTGTATATTTGGATAGAAGAGTCCTCCATGCCTATGGCTATAATGTTATTGTCTTGTGGATGGAATGCCAGAAAGGTGGCGGCAGGTGGAGGCGGCATGAATGTAGTCATAGTCTGCAAATAGAAGACAGTAATAAGTAAATCTTTGGTAAAAAAACAGTAATAAGTTTGAGCTACAATAGCAGTAAAAATCTCAATACATTGTTTGCTATATCTGCAGTAAACGTCTCCATAAATTGTTTGCTATATCTGAACATAGATCCATAGGGGCATGTTCAGATAAGAACCGTATATATTTTGGGAACCAACTATTCATGATGAATGTCGTGATAGATATTCATCATGAAAATTATTCATAATGAATATACTCCTGAATATATAGAGTGATTCATCATGAATAATAAAACATTTATATTTCACATTCAAACTTTCCCCTAGATCCATAACCCACATGAAAAACAAGATGGAAGTAGATATAAAATACATAAAAAAAAAACTTTGTTACCTTAAATGTCATCATATTGAACAGAGAGATCTTCCCGCCTGAAGCAGACATAACATAGGAGTCATTCTTCGACAGTGCAAAGCACGGAACAGCTTCTTCAGGGTTTGTATCACTGATAACATTGGTCATCAAGATACCACTTGTTGGTTGCCATAACTGAGGGGCGACATTGGCAGTAGCCTAAAGAGGAAGGAAAGAGTAAGCGGCAAATTTAGGTTAACATCTTATAGTGGGATTAGGAACAAAGAAAAAATACCTTCCCAGTTGAATTCCGATCATTTCGCTGCCATTTCCATAGTTTATGGACAGCATTGGCTGCTAGAGCCAATATGGCAAGTCCCGAATTTGTGTAAATCAACCTTGAAACCTGTAATGGGGATATGGAGGAAGTCGCTTGAGTTTGATAAAGAATAGGGTGTAACACGACGGTTAAATGGCACTTAGGTAGCGTTTGGTAACAGACAGGACTGAACTAGACAATATAGTATTTGGTAAGTTGGACAGGACAGGACAAAACTGTTAAAATGACCGAATTGCCCCTACACCCTATTTGAACATATTTATGTGATAATAGTTATAAACGACATAAATCAAACTAAAGAAAAATGATGATGATTGAGGCAAACATGCAAGATACGTGTCTTTGAAAGAAACATAGACCATGCCAGAGATGCAATCATGCTAGATGATGAAATACCCGCATTGCTGAAGATGTATTATCTGGAAGCCTTGAGGAGCGGCACTGTGCCGGTTCTGTGATTTCTGTCAGTTTCCATATTCTAGATTTGTCCATGGACTCATCTCCGATTCTAGGCTTCACATCAACCAAACTTCGATTATCACCATTCTGCAAGTACACCACATGTAAAAAAGTTAAACGCCGTGATTACTAATATGGACATATCAATATCAAGGGGAAAGTTCAAATGAGAACCATAAATATGTTGAGAACCAACTTACGACCTATTTTATGTATTATTCATGATGAATAATCATGAATATCATTCATCAAGAAATCATTCATTTTCATAATCCAAGATATCATGATTCATGATATCATGCATTTTCATCGTTATTATCGTGTATTTTTATCATGAATACCATGTATTTTCATCATGAATAACTTTCATCATGTATATCTACCGCTTCATTCATCATGAATAAAGCATGAATAATTGGTTCTCAGGTTTTCAAAATATGTACGGTTATCATTGTGTAAGATGAGCACATTATCAGAACCACATAAACTTCAACATCAGTCATCCGTGGATGACAACATATGGACAGACATTCAAAGGGAAGGAACATTATCATCATAATTCCACAAACAGAAAATCTCACCATCACTACCATTGAAGGCATTGGTGCAACTCTATCCATGATGCTTGGTCCAGCAGATGCATTAGCAGCACCAAATGTATTCATCGTAGAAGTCTGTGCATGCTAGAGCATTCGGATAAGTAAGATAACATAGACCTATCCAAGATAGGGCCCGAGAACATAATTACTCCCTTAATCCCAAAACAAATGTCCATATTTCTATTTTCAATTGTCCCAAAATTAGGGTCCCCTTTCAAAAGTAAGTGTCTACTTTCGAATTCTACCTTAATTATGAGATGGAGATATTCATTACTCCCTTATTATAGACGATAAAATTGCCATAAAAGTGTAATAATTACAAATTTCTTAGACTGTGTGCCTTTTTCAATGTGGATATTTATTTTGTGATGGAGGGACTATGAACCACAGAAGAGATCCCAATGCCAAAAATCCATTTACCTTCACAACAGATGCAGATGCAACTCTGGAGGGATCAAATGAACGATTCTCCATGGTTCTTAGTAGCCTAATCCCATCAGGATTAGCTAGAATTTTGATACCATTATCATTTGTTGAGACAGCCAACAGAATTCCTTCCTTGTTAAACCGTATGCAAGGAGAAGCCTGCAGATATTTTATGAACCAACATAACCGCTTAGCACAAAGTCACAAATGTATATCAGTGAGATCATATCTAAAAGAAAGCATATGATGGGTACCGGTAGACCACCCTCAGCATCAATGGTTGTCAATAAGTTAACACTGTCCATATCCCAGAATTTAACCAAAAACTCATCACCAGCAGCAAGAAAACGATTTTTGGTAGTATCAAACTGCACAACACCAACAGATCGCTTCCCAAGCCCGTTATATGTGCGCTTGACAGCTCCTTCACTTTCATTCCATTCCACAATGTATGATTCTCCTTCTTTATTTGTACCACACGAGAATAACCTATTAGGTGTGCAGATATCAGAGATGTTCTCATTAGCATTAGAAGCAGCCAGGGGTGTAATCTAAATTCTATACAATAGAAGCACATTTATGAATTTTTCAAACCTTGTTCCATCTGCATTGTAGGCCATAGTGGTCGATGAATGACCTGGTGCATCGTAGTCCACTCTTGAACCCATATTGTCATACAACCATGCTTTTATTTTTCCATCAGTTGCCGTCGAGAAAATAAACTGGTACAGGAAGAAATCAATAGAGACATTAGCGATTGCTATTCAATGCATAGGACTGAATACTGTTTATCAGATGGAACAGCAAGGGTGCCACATTTCAAATGTAGTGGATGCATTAAGCATTTAACTGCAACTTACGAGAAAAGAAAAGAGTATAAAGGAAATTTATCTCCAAGTTATCGATATTGTTATGCTACAGGCTGTGAATTGCAAGATTAATCAAGCACCTGTAAACTCCTAGTTACTTTTTTGTAGCATTTAAAGCATAGGGAAGTCTCTAAATTTCAGAAAACATTATACCTGAATGTTTTCCTTGAAATGTGGACATACGGAATATACAGGTGCTTCATGACCCTCAAATGAATACTGTTTTGCCCCTGTGACCGCATCCCAGACCTGCATAAACATTAATGCATACATCAGGGAGTTCGAAACATCACAATCCTGAACAACACAAGAGCAGCAAGTGACAAACCTTTATTAACCTGTCTTCTCCACAAGTTACAACGCAAAGCTGTTTGTTTGGGTAGGAGAAAGCAAGGTCATTGACACTGCCAACATGAGCCTCAATCTGTATAACAACCAAGTAAAGAATGCTGCTTATGTGGAATATATGCATCAGACCAGGCACCACCCAAGAAAAGGAAAAAAGCAGCAAAAGATACAGACAATGGGAGGACACAAACCTCCAAATGGTTTCGGAGATCATCACCGCCATGGTAAGAGTAAATCTGCACTATGTGCTTTGAGTATGCAACGCCTGTATGAAAGTTCAAGATGCTGATGTAAATCTCTAACAGTTATCCCAACTTTAACTCATTCACCACATTAAGGAACATTTGCTACAGATCTTATTGAAAGAAAAAATATCCAACTACATACCAAAGAGGGTTCCATCAGGGCTCCAAGTTACACGGTTGATTGATGCAGTATAGTCACTGGTCAAAGATGCCTAGCACAACACAGAAGTGCACAGCAGAGTCAAAAGAAAATATATAAGATTTAAAAAAGGGTATCAACAGTCAAGATGGTATGCAATGTATGTTTAAAAAATACCCTCCATTGTTATGGAGATAAAATTGTTTCTCATTCCAACCAACAAATCTAATTAAAGCTAGAATTCAAACCTGCAAAGGCATTGAGCAAACACCAAGATCCCAAACCTTGAAATTCTTATGAGCAAGCTTCTCTCTGCTACCCAGTTCCCATATCATGACTTCTCCGGTACTTGTTCCAACTGATATTAATCAAAGCAGGGGAAAGATGGTGAGACAATATGCAACTAATGAGAAGTCCTGAAAGCAGAAACCAGCAAGAAAGCATAACTTAAATTATAGAGCATATGAAAACTAACCGAGAAGCAGAATTTGCTGTACTGGATGGAAATCCATGCTCTTGACTGATGAACCCTGATTTAGGGTCATCACCATAGCTTTAGGTAAATCATCAGACGAATATGAGCTTTGACCATGGCTCTGGCCGCTGTAACCAACAGGCAAGATATTTACAGGCAGATGATTGACCTGCTAAAAATACATAGGCATGTCAGCCTTGAGTATCAATTAAATTCCAACATTGGATAAGTTGATCCCCCTTAAGAAGGTAAGACTACCATATGACTTCAACGTTAATCCATTTCCAGATTAATGAAACCACACTTCTAGATCATGAAACATAACTCAATATGTGATAAAAACTGATGCTGCAAAGGAACTTAATGCTAGGTTGATGGGATGAAGCCAGTCCCTAATCATATTATTTTCATCAGCCAGGGGTTTAAGCTTTAAGATGTCAAACGACTCAAATTTACACACATGAGGAGGCTATGCAAAAAATTCAGCTTAAGTAGTCAAGCAATATAATTCTGGAAGTGGAAAGAAGCTGTCTTCATCATGTTCACAAAAATTAGAGAAAGCATAGCCAGAGTGTGTCATACTTCATCAGATATGCCAAATGTCCTCGTTCTCTTCAGTACATGTTCAGAGTCAGCTGTTTGATAGTCTACAGCAGGATTATTGGTTGGGGGAGTCCTAGGGCGCTTTAATAGAGCTGCATGTAAAAGGGGGAAAGGGCACAAGCAACAGCATTAGTATCATAAAGTAAACCACTCCACATGAAGTTAGTATTACTTAACAAACTATGTACCAGCATTATTTGGTGGATTGAAACCAAGAGGGCCAGCAGAAGCCGACGGATGAGGCACAGGGGAAGGATTTGCCATCCAACCAGCAAGAGATGTTGGCAGAGTTGCTGGTGCAGGCTGAAAAGGCTTTATACACGAAGAGAAGGATAAAAGAAACACAATATACATTAGAACACTCGATTGCAGATTTCAAACCACAAACAGTGAAGACCAAGCAACTTGTTTCCACTTACACCATGAGCCCCCAGAGGTGGAAAGCCAGCAGGCTTCGGTACGGCACCCATTAATGGGTTATTTACAGGGGATGGAGCCCTTGCACCATTTGGCTGTGACTGTCCACAAGAATGATCAACAAACAGAGTTTTTATGTCGGGATTCGGCTTTGGGTTTTTACACAGCTGATGTTGCCAGTTCAAACTACAAATTAAAAGGAAATGTCAAAATGAAATAATAAACTTGATCAAGAAAACTCAGCCCCAAATACAGAGAATATCCGAACCTTTGATTGATAAGGGTCCGCAATCTCGAGTTTTTTAGAGTTGGAAAGTTTAGCTTATCACGAAACAGAGGATTTGCTTCAATCAGCTTCTTAAGCTCACCCAGCATTATACTTCTGGCAGACTTGGTGTCTCCATATTTTGATAATTGCTCATTGTCTCTGCACACATGTATTTGTATCAGAAAACATCCAAGTTTTACAGCATAATTCAGATGAATTATACCACTTTTAATATGGAAAGAGAAACTCCTCATCGATAACCCTTCCACACCTGAAATTCTCCAGGGTCAAAAGTTGTGTTATTTCTTTAAAAAGATCTTCATTAAAAGCTGAAAACACCTTCAAGTCCTTCACTAGAATTTCAACAGCTTTAGCACGATCCTTCCTGCAAGTTGAATGATAAAAAGAATTTAGCACATCAATCTGATCTCCATTGTGACTGGAGATGATTTTATCCCAACCAAAAGTTTAAATAAGGAAATCACTAGAAGACGAATTAGAGACCGTAATAGAGAGACATAAGGAAACAAAGCATTAAAAAGCTTTCGGCTTCATCTGACATTAAATGGATTTCTAGTTGTGTAGCATAACCACCCCAATAATAAACGCCAAGGCAAAGCGGTCATGTATGAACGCACTCAATGTAATAAAACTCTGCACGGTAACATACTTATCTAGAGCTTCTAGGTACTTCTGCTTTCGTATCTCAAAGAAGATCTTCATTGAATATCTGTTATCATCCACCTTTGTGAATCCAGAGAGATATTTTTCCACCTCATCCCAATCGCCATTTGTCACCATTTCCTCAAAGTAACGGATGTTGAAGAAAAACCCCGACTCTTGCTCCAACCTCAACAATAAAACAAACCCAATAAACACATAAAGACAACAACACAACCAATTTTCGGAACAGTAAATACCAAAGTATTAAAAAAAATTGTATATCTAAATTCAGCAGTAAATATGTAAAAGAAAATCGTCAAATTCATAAACCCTACCTGTGAACAGTCTCCTTAAACTTCTCTTCGTCTAGAAACTGAAGGATTAAAAACACAAGCTCTCTGCTAAGGGACGACATCGCTTTCCTTTCTTCCCAGAGGCTGCATAAAATTATTGTTAAACGTAAGCATTTAAATACAATTAAACAACAAAAACCCTCAAAAATCCTCACGGATCGAACAACAATAGTTCAACCTCTATCTCCATAAAATTCAGCTCAATAACTCAACAAGCAAAACCCTAACGAACAGCTCCAATTTTTCATCAACAAAACCTAAAATTTCCGTAAACAAAAAGACTATATACGCATACGAAATCATCAACATCCATGTATGGATAATCTACACATATAATTACGCACAGGTAGATAATAACCCACAGGCATAATCACTAGGTTTATGTGTATGCAGAAATTATGCAAGATTAGAGCTTTCGTACCTTCGAATTGGATGATGAAAGATTACAGAGACAGATCTGAAGGTTTGTAGAGAGAGAAACGAATTCCCTTTTACTGATACTAATTTCTCTCCCACCTCCTTTAGGGATTTCTAGAGAGAGAAAGTACAGAGATGTGAATCGAAGAACAAAGACACACGATATAAATAGTGGCGAAGAATACGAGTAGTACGAGATGATAGGTCAAGAATGATAAGTAGACTCGCTTATCATATATAAGTCAATCGTCTTATAAATTAATCATTTTACTCATTAAATTAATATTTATTTAAATATCAAAAACTAATACTGTTTCAGGATACTAACGTGTGTTTAATGCATAATTAATGCACCTTTGTCATTTTATGCAAATTAATAATTTAATTTAATTAAATGTTGCATAAATTAATTTAAATATAAATAAATAAATAAATAATTCTACAAACCTGATTATTATATTTGTTAAAATAGAAATAAAATATTCGATAATAAATTTTAGAATATCATAAAATTATTATAAATATAAAATCAACTTATAAAAATATTTAAACCGTTGAAAATTATAACTTCATAAATTCAAAATATTTAATTAATTATTAATTATTATTTTTTGTTTATTACATTTTTCTACGAATAAATAGTTTTTTTAATAATTTATTTAAGTGGGGGATGCTAAGGTGTACACGACCTCACGTCAAAGTGTTTGTTTGCAGTGGACCCACCGTCCTTTTTTGTTTCAAAAGTTGCGTGGATCCAAAATCTCCCTCATGAATTTAATTAAATTTCTTTTTAATTTTTTATTTCAAATTTAAGCTTTATGAAAGTATTTCTATTTTTGCATATTCTCTAATAATTTCTTAATTATTATATTAAGAAATTACTTAAAAAACATCAACAATAAATAGGGTTGTTATTAGCTATTTATTTCATTTACGAGATTTAGGGGTCGTTTACCTAAACACTTACCCAGTAAGCATTTACTGGTAAAATTCAACATTATCGTTTACTTACTGAGTAAGATTTAAGTCTACCAAAACAACATTGTATGTAATAATTTATCCGGTAAGCGCTAACCATGATAAGAGTCGTCGTCATCACTTACCGGGTAAGACTTTCGGTCCTTGCTTTTGCTCTTACCGGGTAGGATTTCTGGTCCTTGTCATATTCATTTGGTATGGTAATATGACTTGGTAAGCGCTTACCTATGTAAGCATTTGGTAGACGGCCCCTTAATCACATAATATTATGTTTTACTGTTTTTAGACACCGAAGATTGATAGATACGTTTTTAAACTGTATTATTTTATTAAATATTATGTGTAATATATGAAATGAATATGTTATGATAACGTAAGGTACTTATACATGTCACGAGTAAGACCCGGTGATAAAACGATGGGTGACTGGAAGAGTTTCAACCAGATGCTCGTGAAGGACTCAGGCAACAATCTGTTGAGCAGAATATGATGCAGTAGTTTGCAAATAAATGGATTCGGTTCACATAGCATTTGCTTCTGTTTTGATTTAAATTTGCATTTTTTTTTGCAGGGCAAAAGATAACAGACATGCTTCAATTACCATTTGCTTATATGTTCAGTATTGCATTAAATTTATTTTATAAAAATCTAGTGCTACATTTTGTGTTACATTTTTGTTTATTGTTTTTTAGATGTCACAAGTTGATACATACGTTCGTCAACGATAGTTTTTTTTTTTTTTGATTAACCTGGATATCCAACCCGTTATGCGAACCGACTAATCCCAGGGCGACCACCTGCTTTGCAGATAGCCCGAAGTCACCGCATTTGAACCTCCGTGGCCACAAGGGGATTTTTATTCCTCCTTGGATTTGAACCTGAGACCTCCTGGTACTTTTGACCTTTGAAGTCAAGCTCAAACCAATCAGGCACCACCCTTGTGGTTAACGATAGGTTTTATTTAACAGTTATTCGAGTCGCATGTAAGATGCAGACATAAAAAATACTTGTGGGAAATAGTTGTAGCAATATACCCATGAAAGGTTCATATGGGAATGCACCGAGTAATACGAGATGCAATTACTCGATGCATGTGCCCTAAACGTATCTAGTTCACAGAATTGGTCACGTCTGTTTTGTTTATGTTGAGACAAGTGTGAGGTTCTGTTTTTTTTTTTAATTAATTTATAGTGAGACAATCTTGTACAGACAACTCTAATTGTCTTTATGAAGTAATATTTTCATTTATGTGTTAGAAAATATTGTCATGTCTTTAATGTATCAAAAAGTCAATAAACCAATAGTCATGGTTAGGAAGTGTCTCACGCGAAACTCAAATAATTCATTTATTGGAAAGCATGCTGATTGGCGGGTTTACACCTCCTAAAATCTAACGGCAAATCTGCAATGTTGAAACAAGTAACGCATAATAAATACGAATATCGAACCAAATGAATTGAGAGTCAGTATTACGATGACTATGTCAACTATTAACTAGGTTGTCGAATAAGTGGTTAGTTTAGTTAACTACTAATTGAAACAGCATAATTTAGGCAAAGTAGTAACAAAGACTGGAACATTACCAGGAAGGAATGCAGTTAGGAGGTCGAATCCATTTGGTTTTTACATATAGTATTCGGGTTGCGACAGTTATTGGTTCAAGATTAAATGAATACACAATTCCCTTTTACTTATTAACCTCTCTCCCGAGTTATGACAAGCTTATCTCTTGAAAACGCAGTTAATCTCTTGATTTTAACACAGAGTCGGAATTTCATTAAGATCAAGATGCCAGATTGTACTAAAACTAAATTGGTATATCTATATTCATGTTCTCAGTTTAGGCACATGGATTTTGAATCTAATTGTTAAGCCACTTCTCTCAAAAGACAGTTCACAGTCAGTATATCAATTGCAAGGTGATTAGACATGCAAATGGGCAATAGCATTAAACACGAATTCATATGTTTCGTTAATCATAAACACCAGTAAAGGCCACAACTTTTGGTACGCATATGATTCCATAACCAAAATTCATCTAGCGCTCAACAGGTAAAGATTATTTCATATTGGAGATGGTAGCAAACAACCAAAAAAAATAGAAGAGTTCATAAGTTTAGATATGGTTTCTCGATCAAAATCTTAAACAAAGTAGAACCCCCGTTTTCTTACGATAAATACTCACGATTAATAGTTGAAAACAGCTTCAAATCTCAATTCTTAGGCCCTGTTTGTTTTTACCTAAAAAGCACTTAATACTCTCTTATGTCTGAATCGGTCAGACCTTAGGGTATTAAGTGTGTTTGTTTGTTTTTTTCAATTAAGAGCTTAAAAGCTCTGATTATGTCTGAATTATTTAGAGGTAACATTTTCACTTAAAACCTCTTAATTGCTTTTAGAGCTTCCAATGCTTGCAAAGAAAGTCTAGATTTCAATGATTCAAATTTCAGATTTCAGATTTCAGACGTAAAAACAAACAGTCTGACTGATTCAGATTTCAGACTTCAGCATCACCTCTTAAAATTCAGAAGTGAATTCAGACTTCAGACTTAAGCACCTCTTAAAAAACAAACGCCACCTTAATGTTTCTCTGGCACTTTATTCCTTAACTATAGCCCAAAACCCGAGAGTTTTCAAGTTAGGTCTTGAATGATTTGGAAAACCCTGGTTGCAAGCCTTAAATATGCAAACTAATAAACCACAAGGGTGGTGCCTGATTGGTTTGAGCCTGGCTCCAAAGGTCAAAAGTACCAGGAGGTCTCAAGTTCAAATCCAAGGAGGAATAAAAATCCCCTTTATGGTCACGGAGGTTCAAATGTGGTGACTCCGGGCTATCTGTAAAGCAGGTGGTCGCCTTGGGATTAGTCGGCTTGCATAGCGGGTTGACTATCCAGGTTAATAAAAAAAATGCAAACTAAGGGGTTATTAAGTCGCTTGGAGAGTCGTGCATGTCATTTTTGTGGCTCGCGGCTTGGGTCAACATATCTTTCTATTTGGTTGGCTTCAAGTGTCATTTTAGTGCAGTTTTCATTAGGAAACAATCTTCAATACCCCTTTCAGATCTCCGACTTTATGAATGCTCCAAATTAAGATCAAATTCCTAGATTCTACAGTTCGCTTAATAGAGTAATTCATGTACAATACTTGCAATAACTGTAAAAACGATGCTTAATTTACTCGATAACAAGGTAAACCCCGCATGGAATGTGGCATGTCAATAAACATCGAAGTCGATGTTATCACATGTCACGAAGCAATCAACGACATACATCAAACCTAAATCAAGACTATGTTAAAGATTATTGACGGTAAACACTTAAGAAAGAGAAAATCAAAACTGCATTGGTTTTTATAAAAATAATTTTACAAATCTTTTCAAATATTAAAAGAGTTTAAAAGCTACTTATCAACTTATTACAACGCTTTTAGATATGACGTTCTATTTTTTGTTTCTATAAATTACGTTTTATAAAATGATCTATTAGTAACGTTTATTTATTTGTGACGTCCTATAAATCCAGTTTTATTGTACTGATATATATATATTTTTAATATACAAAATATATTATTTTCTTATGTTAAATGAAGTTTTGTCTTCTTATGTACTTTTGGCGGATAGTGCAGTTCAAAGAAATCCAGATGTCCGTATAGATCAAAACTCAAATGCATTTGATTGGATTGAATTAAACACGTCGACCCAGACGACCATTGCTTTCTTTGTCCATTTATTGCAAATACTGATTTTTATAACCTTGTAATCTTTTAACACTTTAAAAACGTCATATATCGAAATAAATAATATTTAAGATTTTAATCCACGTTATTTTTATTTTATAAAATCTTTCCGAACATGAAAATATATTTTTATAAGATCTAAAATTATTATAAGTATGAAGAACTAGTCATTGATCTGTTCGTTTTGGAATATAATGACTTACACAAGATGTGTTTTAATTCTATATTTTGTATTAAAACAAGAATTACAGGGTTGTTGCAGAAGCTAGAAAGATAAGGCTTGATCATAAACAATCTGACTGGTGACAAAGTTGCTAACAACTGAAAGAGAGAAAAGATTGTACTTTTTCAGATCTAAAGTACTTAGATAGTCCTTCAGATTGTGGAGTCGACTTTGCCTA